GATAACCATTTGTCATTGCTTTTGACATGTCTAGATGCACCTGTATCAACAATCTACAAATCATTGTCAAACTCACCATTCAAGCGATCATCGGGAATTTTTGTATTACCAACAAAACCGGCAATTGCTTTCCATTGTTCTGCTGTAAATGTTTGTGAGGAGCCACCTGAGGAGTCCATGTTGCCTGCATTAGAGGACCCGGCTGTTGTTTCATTGGCCTGAGCTTGGGGTCTCCCTTTGGTGCCTGACTGTTGTGACTTGCCACACTTAGAGGGATTCGGCCACCACTCTAGGTACCCCTTCAATTCGAAACAGCCAGAGACCAAGTGCCTGGTTTTCTTGCAATAAGTACACTGTAAACTCGATTTATCAGGTTTGTCATCTGTGGCTGCTAACTTTGACCTCCCTGTGCTTGCTCGAAAAGCAAAGCCTACGGCTTTAGGGGGCTGCTCATCAGGGAATTGTTTAGAAAGTCTAACTCGTTCATCTTGCGAGGCCAACTGATATGCCCAATCAAGAGACGGCAACGGGTCTTGGGATATATGTTGGTGCGAGTCTGTGCATAGTAGTTAGTATACAGCCCCATCAAGAACTCATGAAGGCGAGTGGTCTCACGACGTTTTTCATGCTCCAAGTCGACTATACAATTCACACAACAAGACCACGTAATAATCGGCTCATGATTATTCAATTCCTCCCATAGGGTAGTTGATTTACCAAAATAGGAGGCAACCGACATATCCTTCGACTGCTCACACTTCGCAATTGAAGCCTTTAACTGTGGAATCCAAGGTCTATTGACGGTGGCAAACCGCATCTTGAGAGTATCCCACAACCTCTTCGCATCTTTGTACTTGGACAGAGTACTTTTGACCTCGGGATCAATCATGTTCATTAATTAGCCACAAAATCAACATAGCATGAATGGTATTCCAATCCGTTTGAGTACATGGAGAGGATGGTGTTGTGATTGTCCCGTCAAGGAAGACAAATTTACGGCATGCCTCCAACGCGGTTTGAATGTCACCGGCCCATTCATCATAATTTTCTCCACGAAGGCGGGTCGGAGTAATGAAATCCCCAGGTCTGTCATGAGGACCTAGGTAAAAAGAAGAAGTAATGTCAATGCGTGGCGGTGGTGGCGGAGGAACATCATCACCGGCCATGGTGATTTAGGAGTTTCGGATTTTTGTTTTGTTTTTTTTTTTTTTTTTTTTAGTTGGGCTTTCTCAAGCTTGCCCTCATTCATTCATTCATTCATTCATTTAATCACATATGTATAGAGTATATAGTTCCCTAAAACATATCAAAAGATATTGCCTTGAGATAACATAACCTATAAACTAGGAAACTAAATATATGATAAGAATGACAAAGATATGATAATATTCCTAACATAAATATATATAAATTTGCAATTTCTTAAACATACATATTACATACTACCTTCGTTCACAATAAAAAATGGTGAACATCATATTGTTTTTAAGCACATTTCTAACATTATTATTAATGTCAATAATGATCATGAAATTCATAGTTTCTCCAAGTCCACCAATTCTTCCCTTAATAGGCCATTTACACCTTTTAAAAACACCATTTCATGAAACCTTGCAGAATATATCACAAAAATATGGCCCTATAGTTTCTCTTAAATGCGGTTCACGCTTAGTACTATTAGTTTCCTCACCATCTGTTGTAGAAGAGTGCTTTATAAAGAACGATATCGTGGTTTTCCAATCGTCCTCCTCTTCTCATACAAAAACACCTTGGCTATAATTATAATTCAATGGTAACTGCTTCATACGGTGAACATTAGCGTAACTTGCGTAAGATGAGTTTAATAAAACTTCTGTCGAAACAGCGCCTTAACATGTCTGTTGGCATCAGGATAGATGAAATAAAACATATGCTGAGTAAACTACTGCAGGACGGTATAAGTGCAGGTGACGACGATGGTTACACCAAGGTTGAGGTGAAGTCAGTGATTCGAGGTATGGTTCTGAATATGTTACTGAGAATGCTAGTTGGGAAAAGATACTACAACGGCAAAGGCCAAGTGATGGATTCCGAAGAGGCGAGACAGTATACTGATATAATCACAGAGGCTATTGAGTTATTTATTACTTTGGACCCTGCAGATGTTCTTCATGTGTTAAGATGGATCGACTATGGCGGGTTTTTAAAAAGGAATAAACAGCTCGCAAAGAAGGCTGATGCATTTTTGCAAGGTCTTATTGACGAACATACAAGTGAAGAGGTGAATGTACACAAAAATACTGAAGATCAACCTTTGATAAATCGCCTGCTTTCTTTGCAGAAATTTGAACCAGAGTTATACTCTAACGAGACTATAAAAGGTCTTATATTTGTGAGTTATAAACAATTTTGTAGCGTGTATAATCTTTTAATCCGGGCCTTTAAAATTTGTTAATAAATCTTGATCATTCATTAATTTATCTAAATATTTAATACATTGATATATATAATCATGCAGTAAAAAGATATACTTGTATTTTTTCTAAAAAAAAAAACAAAAAAGATATACTTGTATTAGTTTTGTTTTTAACACGTATGTACCAGTGATATGTAGCTATTATTAAATGCTGGGACAGACACTTCTACAACAGCAATGAAGTGTGCAGTCTCAGAATTACTCAAAAACCCAGATGTTATGAACAAAGTAAGATCCGAAATGGAAAATCAAACCGGTCAAGAAAATTTGATCGACGAGTTGGATCTTCCAAGAATACAAACTCTTCAAAACGTAATCTTAGAGACTCTACGAATGTACCCTCCAGCCCCATTTCTAGTACCACACATGTCATCACAAGATTGTTGAATCGGAGGGTTCGACATGCCACAAGGGACCATTTTACTACTGAATACATGGGCTATTCAACGGGATCCAAATCTTTGGGACGAACCTATAAAATTTAAGCCAAAGCGTTTTCAAGGTATACAAATAATGATGGTAAGATTGATCAACATTGTTATAAGTTGTTGCCTTTTGGTGTTGGCAGAAGAGCTTGCCCCGAGGCGATGATGGGTAACCGAATGATGGGCTTAGTGTTAGGTCCATTGATTCAGTGCTTCGATTGGAAACAAGTTTGTCATGAAGAACAACCTCTTGAGGCCATGTACAAACCACGGCCTATTATCACTAAAATCCTTTCATCCACAAGATCTCTTTGATTTGTACCATGTTTTATACCGTGTTGTTAATACTTATACGGAAAATTCTAAAATATTCTGAGTAATTTATATTTATGTAGTTGTATACTAGATTAAATCCCATGCTATGCACGATTGTTAAATAATTATAATGACAATAAATTTTACAAAAAAAAAAAAAAAAAAATATGAAACATTATGAACAGACTCAATATTAAAATGTATGAAATATATATAAAAGAAAATAATTAAACATGTAATAGTTATAATGGGCAATTTGATATTTTATTTAGGAAGTTTATCTTTGATTTTGTATGAAGTAAAAATCATAATTTAGATACAAACCTTATTTTTATGTAACAATAAGTTTTTTTTGGAGGAAAAACTTTTTATAATATGTTGCCAAGTGTCTTGCTAAGTTTCGCCTTTAATATAATGTAATTTATACTATATGTCTATATAGCAATGACAAACTTGTAAATAGCTTATCTAATTTGTTACATTTTGCTTTTTGATATGTCCTCTATTCCATCTCGCATTAATTGCAGCACTTTTTTTTATAAAATCCTCAAATTATTAGCAAGTTGCAACATTTTTTATAAAAAAAATAAAAAAAATGACCCAAATCAAAACCAATATATTAAGTGAGTTCGAGAAGAAAAATAAGTTTTTTTTTCACAAAAAAATAAGTTATTGCATTTAACTTGTACACAAAACAACCAAAGCATACACTAGAATTTAGGCAAAATTGGTTGGAATAGCACAAACTACTACTTGGATGTGCTCAATAGCGCAAACTTTAAGTGAAGCAATGAACAATACAAACATTTGGGGGTTGGGTTCCGTAAATGACATAGACGTTTTCTAATGCCGAAGATTCCATCGGATCTAACTTCTTGTATTTTTTTTTATGAAATTAACATATTGCATAAGTTTGTTGTAAATTAAGTGTTTCAAAGGCTACAAAATATAAGAATATTGTATTTGTTTGATCAAAAAGAAAATAGCCTGGTGTGGCGTGATATTTCGTCACTAAATTTGAAAATGAATTCCGGCGCAATCGGGGTGCACGTTGTATCGTCGGTACGTTCCCTAAGGTTACACACTACGCACTCTCACTCAAAGACACTTTTGGGTGAGAGCTGGAGCCATATAAACTTATGCCCAAAAGAAGAAGAAATGTGTTTAGCAATTTGTGGATAAGTATATTGTAGTATGTCTATTCTCATTGAGCGAATGTTCTAAGCAATATATAAACCATGCAAGGAGCTTTAAAGAATGAATCTAGACACCAAAGGGGTGATTAAATCAGAATAATGAGCTTGATTAAATCACCAAAATCATTCACTTTAATGGGGGGTTACAAGGGAATCCAAGAGAAAGAAGAAGAATACCAAGAGAATGACTTTAGACATCAAAAAGTCTACTCCGCAACCCACCTGTAGGCAAATGATGTAGGCCACAACCTAGCTACTGGTTAAGTAAGCTGATCAACTTCTAAAAACATGGATTTTACTCTCTTTAATCCAATAAAGTTAAATAATGTAACATATTATATAATACCAAGGAAATAATTGTTAAACAAAATTAGTCATGTGAGGGGACACCTAGGACCATATTACTGCGCTAATAACAAGAAAATATTTGTTAAATTAATCTCTCTCGGTAATGACTATTCATATCACCAACCCTTTAAAGGCAAGAGTATGTGTTACTATTACTGTGAATAGTGTTAAGGCGCTATTACCCTTAACCTTTCATAGTATTTGCGAATCTGCCCTTGACTATTTACTTTGCTCTTTTTTTAAAAATAAAATAAAATAAAATAAAATAAAAGGGAACGAAAGAAAGGAGGTGATGGCATGAGATGGTTTGCATGTGTTTGTTTCCATTTCCATTTCCATTTCCATTTCCAAATCTTTGTCGTTCATTTCGATAAACTCTCCATTGAAGCGGCTTCCGAGCTTACTCCTCCATTGAATTCAAGCAGCTTGCCATTTTATATTTTACTCTGACTTCTCTCTCTGGTTTTTCTCGCAATCATCTCTAATTATTTTGGCTATGCACATTCTTTTCTTCAGGTATGTTTCTCTTTCTCTTTTCTAATTTAGATCTCTTATTACTATGAAACTTGATGAATTATACAACAAAAAAAGACCCAAATTTTAGTATTTGTATTCAATTTGATGTCTGATTGTTTGATTATTGTCAATTACTTCGATTTTGTCAAGCTCAATTAAATTTTCCGATTTAGTTGTTCTAAATTATGCCACTACTTGTAATTGCAATTCAGGTAATTTTTCTTGGTTTTGATTTGCCCCCATTACCTCAAGAGTATCTCCCCTTTTCTTCTTCAAATGTTCCCTTTTCTCAAGAATTTTCAAACCCCTAATGTTCCAGATTTCTGCAATTTTCTTTTCGGAAATTAAAGTTTTGATTTCTTTAATTTTTCCCATTTTAATCAATGTCGCAGCTCAAAATGATTGGTCACATGGCGGATGATACCCCATCAATCCCAGGAAAATTCAAGCCTGAAAAATCATCGATTTACTTCAATAGAATCCGATGGTACGACCCTTTGGTCTTTCCTCTCTCGATCTCTTCTTCATTATCAATTTTTGTTAGCTTATATGGTTTTCAGCTGGAATTTGGTGTATTATTTTTGCATCAACAAATTTTTTTTATGAATTGTGGAAGTTTCCCCCCCACCCTATCCTTCTTAATGTTGCTGCTAGCTTGCTAAATCAGTAGAAAGATGCACTATAGAAAGGGTATGACAAACTACCAAAAGGTAGTAACATTTTGTTTTAGTTGAATTGATGTGTTATAATTGTTTTTAATTTAATTTTTAGAATTTATCTTTATGTAATGTTGATTATCTTTATATAATTATAATGAACTTTTAGGTCCCTAGAAGAAGAAATGCCTTGCTATTTTGGTATTGTTACACAGTGTATGGTGGTTCCTACCAGGTATTTGGCTGCCTTTTTAAAATTGTTGTTATTGATTTTATGATTTACTATGCTGATTTTGTTGAATTGTTTCTTTATTGATTGTTATTGATTTTTTTGGTTGTAGCTTTTTCCCATTTTTAAGAATTAGATTTTTGTTAATTTAGGTTGTATTATGGAATGATTATGTAGGACGAATAATTAAATTGAATGAAATTAAGTTTCTTTTTCTTGTAATTAGTGTGTATGATGAAATTTTGTTGTAAAATCATTTGTGGGTATTTGCTAAACTTGAACTCAGTATGAGTAATTAAGAGTTAGCTTGTTCTATGCTGTAAAGTAGAAATTGGTGGGATTTTTCTATAGAATGTGTATATGGGAGATTCGGCAAAATAAGTTGGATAGATTTTAAGTGGAATAATGTTAGGGTCTGATTACTTTTTAATGAGATTTGCAGTTTTTAATTGGGGTTTTGCAGAATTGTAGATGTGAGTTTTGCAAAGAAATGTGTTTAATAAGTGCCTAAGTATGTGAGACCATTCTGATATAATATATATCTTAAAGGTGTTTAATTGCGATGGTGGTAAATCTCTGAAGTTCAGTTAAGCACGAGTATATAAAGGACCACATGTTACACAATTTGGTTCATGGTAATTGGTATATTAATTTGATTGTTATGTGTAAAGGCATAGTTATTATATCATACTTGAGCATCTTATTCGATCACTCTCTTTCTGAATGTTGTTAAAGCTCACTTTCAACTTTTCAAGATTAATTGGAACTTATATTGTACTTCACATGTTTTAGGTAGTTAGGCTGGTTTCCACAAGAAGGCTTTGAAAAATTAAGGTATTGAATATGAGATTGACAAAAATCATAAGAAAGCAAGAATTCAATTTGAAAGCCTGAGCTTCACAAATGCATAAGTTGTTTGTTTTGTACTCTATTACGCTCCGTTTGTGTTTTTCTTAATGTTTCAGGTGATTTTGTAGTCATTTGGACGCTTTCGAAATGTTTGGAGTTGATTCAGATGATATTTGGATGGAAGCCGATGAATTGAGTTTATTGATCGACGATCCCATGTTCGTGGATGTTGATTTTGATTATTGTGTGCATGGAAAATGAACATAGCATTCACAAGGGTCACTATGTGCCTTTTCGAATTGAATTTGAGTTGAAAACGAAGAAAAACGATGGTTTACAAAGTGTCAAAATTGACCTTTGTTTACTCTTTTGATCATAACTTGAGTTCTATAGATCTGATTGAAGTGACTCAAGTTGGATTGGAAATTAGACTTGAAGAGCTTTCCAACAGTAGGTCACACGCCTATATACAACTTATGGATCAGAAATTAGATCCCCGTGAAGTTGACGTTGTGCCTGTAGTGCGAGTGAGCGAGAGGTCGCAAGCTAGCTCGCATAGGCCGAGAGCAACAGCAGCCCTGAGCGATTAGCTATAGCTCCAACTTACCACGAAAGCAGCAAGTAAGGGGCATCACAACACGTCCTTCGCTTGGCCCTCAATTCCATCGAGCATCTTCGTGCCACGTCATCTTCTAATTAGGGGATTCCCCCCCGCCACGTGGACCAATTAGGTTCTGCCACGTGGACCAATTAGGTATTGACACGTGGACCAATCTGAGTTTGCCACGTGTCACCACAGGTCCTAAGTGGTCCTATCAGGCCAGATGCATAGCAGATCAAAAAGCCTGTCAGGAAAAGCAGCCTGCAGCGGCCCAACTTCCCAGGCAAGCCCAATCAGATCTAGGTTTCCCAGAAACCTAGTATTGGGTACGGTTTTCAAGACTATAAATAAGGTGCTTTCTCCTAAAGAGACACCTATTCACAAATTTCCAAACACATTCACTCTCAAAGCAGAGAACACGTCAGTCACCTGACATCCCAAACTGAGCAATTATTCATTGCAGGCCCTCTCTTGAAACCCAAGGGAGACTCTTTACTTTCCGCTCTTAACTCCTCAAACACGTTCTAACTTGACCGTTGGAGGCGGAGCTCCCATCAACAGGAGTCTCCATAATTCCATTATCTTGGATTTGTAACTCTCCCGCAGGACATCAAAAAACCCCGAAACATTTTGGCGCCGTCTGTGTGGAGAGTACATTTAAGATGGCTTCACAAGAACCTGTACCGAGTCTAAGTGAGAAGCGGCCTTTGGCCAATGTCCTGGTCACCTCAGACCAGGACACAGATGATGATTTTGAGGTTATCACTCACACGGCACCTGACGGGACCTTAAGGACTCGGCGTGTCCGCCCCACCGAAAGGAGGGAGCGGACCGTCGGCCAGGCCGGGCCCAGTGAAACAGCCGGCCCGCTGACCGTTCACCAATAGGCCGAGGGATCCACCCCTATTACCAGAAATGAGCTCATGAGTCTCATGACAAGTTTCAAAGGGGAGATCAAGGATCTCATTGCTGAACGGACGGCTGCTCCAGCCAGGGAGCAGTCGGCCAAAAAGATCTCCCATTTTGGGAGAAGCAAACCGGTCAAGGACCGAGAGCCAACTCCTTACCCAAAATCAAGGGTAGGGCCGAAGCCCTCCATAATCTTGGCCGGACTCAACTTTCCTGCACCAGGAAACAAAAAAGCCATCCGACATATTCAGCCGGATGGTTCCAAGAAAACATATTCTGATGCTCGGATGATAATCAAGCAGAAGAAGAATACACAACTATCAGAGTCGGCCTCCACGACAAACTTTAATGATAATCCAATCTACCCCAGGGGGGTCAAACAGGCGGCACGTCCGCCCAATCTACTCCTCAAATATACCAGACAGCCCTGTATGTCCCCCACCAGTCATTTGGGCCGTATGGACAATTTTACGTGCAGCCTACTCCTTTTGGGGGACAGGCGGCACCTACAGTCCAGCCTCTGGACAGGCAGCTTCGGTTGAAGAGACTTGGGGAACAGCCTACGGCTTTCTCCAAAGAAATAACAGAGGCCACACAGCCGGCCAAGGTAAAAAATGTATTGGTAGGCACCTATGACGGTATCACCAATCCTAAGGATCACCTAATGGCTTACACCAACCTTATGTATTTACAAGGGTTGGACGACGCCACTTGGTGTAAATGCTTCCCGGCCACATTGAAGGGCGTTGCCCAGCAGTGGTTCGGCAACTTGCCAGCCGGATCCATCAACAATTTTAGGACGCTTGCATATCTGTTTGCGTCCAACTTCTCAATGAACATTCCGGCTAAGAAAACAAGCCATGATCTGGGCACCATACAGCAGGGAGAAAAGGAAGGGTTGCGCTAATATATCAGGCGCTTCAATCTGATGAGAATTAAGATTCAAGGGTTGTCTGATGAGGTAGCCTATACAGACTTTTTTAAGGGTCTGAAGGACGGGTCGGCCTTCAAATTCGACCTCGTCAGGAAGAGGGTTGCTACCCTCCAAGAGGCATTGATGGAGGTGGACGCCTATATACAGGCGACCGAGCTCTGCAATGTCGGAAAACAGTCGGACTTGAAGAGGTCCGACAAAAAAGAGAGTCGGCCTCAGCAGCCGGCTAAAAAAGAAGAATTGAAAAGAAAACAAGTCTGGGTGGCCGAGCCTTCTGAACAGCCATCCCAGAAGAAGAAGAAAGAAGGGAAGACGTATTCCCCCAAGTACGAATATAATAAGGTGTTGCTACTCCATCCTCATGGAGATAAAGGACCGGGTCTCCATTGAAAAGCCGGCTCCTATGAAGGGGTCAGCAAAAAATCGGAACCGGAATAAATATTGTCACTATCATGAGGATATTGGTCATGACACAAACGAACGTTATAGTCTCAAGCGTTTGTTGGACCGACTGGCCGATAAAGGGGTGCTAAAGTCTTATGTGCTGAGGTCAAAGGTTACCCTACCAACAAACTCTAGGGAGCCTCCTAAAAAGAGGCCGAGCTCTACTAATAGTTCGGATACGGATGAAACTCCGATCTATACTATAGCAAGCGGTTTCGCGGGAGGTGGCCCAACCATTCGAGGTAACAAAGACTACATCCGAGGCCTTATCATTAATTCAGTTGACGGAGGGCAGGCGTCCAAGGACCCCTTCCCCGAAGTCATAATTACTGAAGAGGACCAAGGACAGGTCAAAAGACCGCATGATGACCCCTTGGTCATCGAATGCAAAGTGGTCAACCAAAGAGTCGGCCGCATTCTCATTGATACTGGGAGTTCTTCGGACCTCATCAGTCTCAAGTGCCTGACAAAGCTCAGGTACAAATCTGAAAGTATGCATCAGGTCTCTCATCCCTTAGTGGGATTTGGAGGTGGTGTAGTACACCCGGTAGGTCGAATAGACTTACCCGTCCGCTTGGGCGAGAAGGGAAAGGGACGACACACGGTGGTCCGGTTCTTAGTTGTTGAAGAACTGACGGCCTATAACATGATCTTGGGACGTCCTACCCTTAATCAGTCCAAGGCTGTGATCATTCCATCTCTTATGCTTCTCAAGTTTGAGAGGGGTGACAGAATAGTCGGCTCCCTACGGGGAGACCAAAAAATGGCCAGGAAGTGCTATTTCTCTAATGTCAAGACCAATGCGGCCGTCGGCCCCAGTGAAGAGACAGCGCCTGCTGCGGCAGCAGCCGGCAAAAAGAGGAAATTCAGCCAACAGGTGGCCGAGAAAAAAGATAAATAGCAGTCACTACCCGGTCAGAGGCCGGATGAGCTTCGTCCCCAGCCGGCTGGAGAACACATGGACATTGTCCTAGATGACTCTCGTCCTAACCGAACTGTTAAGGTTGGGACGACTGCTTTTGCTGAACTTGGTGCAAATTTGCACCAACTCTTGAAGGACTTCAAAGACATCTTTACCTTTGAAGTAGACGAGATGCCAGGCATCAGCCCGGATCTTGCGTACATAAACTCGCTGTGGATCCCAAAAAGAAGCCGGTAAGGCAAAAGAAAAGGAACCATGGTGAGGAAAGAAGCCAGGCGGCTGCCTCTGAGGTTAAAAAGCTTTTAGAAGCTAAGTTCATCCGGCAATGCTACTTTCCGGACTGGGTT